AATCAGCATCGAATTCTGAACAAAATGGCTCATTTAGATTTTCCCGAGAACCGCTCTACAGCCTGGTACAAATGGATTCCCAGATTTTCGACAAAAAAACTTCCGCAACGAAGTAGCGCGTTACGTGGACAAGCCGTTAAAGTGACACAGTTGCTGTATATCAGTCATATAGAGTAAGAATTTGATGAAGGCTTTCATCATGAATATAGATACTGTTAGAATTTTCGCTTAGCGTAATACATATATACATCCTTCTTTTCATGACAAATACGAGATCTCATAAAATTGTATGAAATGTGTCCACACATTTTCATAGAATGAAGTTCTCAAAAAAATGATTGGTTTCAGTTGAAAAGGAAACAGAAAATCTCTCACATTGGAAAGGATTTTTAACAGATTCTTCTTGTTGTGACAACCTATATAAAGCATAGTTAAAAACAAAATGAATGCATCTGATATAATTGTTTTTTATATATCTAAAGTAAGATCTCTGTTGTTTTCACACATTTGATGCGATTTATTAAATATTACACAAGTGATTTGCATAAATTCATTCAAATAACCGATAGCATCATCCATTGAATTTTTTTCAATTAATTCGAATTCAGTACGTAACTAAAGCATGAAAAGTAAAGCATATCGTATTTTTTTATAGGAAACTTTCTCATAAAATTTAAAACTGATGAAAGCAAAATAGTAGTTATCCGCTTGTGAAACAGATTTTACTTCCAATTATCTTACTCGTTTTTGTCTGTTACTAAATAAGCTTTATGTGATCTTTGTTGAACTGACGAGGGAGGTCCACCAACTTATAAATCGTTTGTCAGTCAAAACCTAATTGACTATAGGTAATCAACCATGCTGAATCCGAATATCAGGGTCTCAGCTGCTTTTAGAATCCCAAAGACACAGGTTTTGAAAAACCGGTTTTATAGAGAAGTCTATATTTTTCAATTTTTGAACCGATATTTAGGACACTACAATACCAAAAACTTTACACGTCTGAAGAGTTTTACCCTTTTTTTTCGCATTTTTATCGCTAAATATTTTCTTAATCTGTTTCGTTTGCATATGTCAGATGCATTTTACCACATTCTTATGATTGTAAACTCGTCTGACAGGAGCAACCGTATGAGACAAGGACTTGTATCTACTTCTCCCTATATGAATTACATATGTTCTCTCTTCTATTCTCTAGTGACTCCTTTTCCTATCATCTTCTAGTGAATTCTTTCTCCTTTCACACTCTTGTATATATATATTTGTTGATTGAAACAATAAGTGAGTTTAACAATCGTGAGTTCTATATAGTTCAACTGTTTGCACAGTATCTATATTTTGTATAGAGTATTATTCACAAAAAAACATTTTTGCTTACATAATTTGGTAAAATCATAAATGGCATTTGTGCCAATAATTCAGAAAAACGTTTTTTTTCATTAATTATGATTTTACGTCTTAATGAATATGATTCACAATTAATAATTTAAATTCATTTGTATTTGATTTATTCTCGTCATGTAATTGTATTATTTGTTCAATATATTGGTGAACAGCTAATTCTAAAAATGAGTTTATGAAACTTAATTAGTTATAGTAGTAGAAAACATATATTCCAGTTTATATTCTTTTAACCCTTTATTTAATATTGCTCGACCATGATAGCTATAGACTTCAAAATATCTATGATCATTGTTCTCACCGAATGCTGATCACCCACAAAGTTTAGACTTCTTTTCCCAGATGGTTCGTGAGATGTAAGCGTTTCGTTTCTTTCTCGTAAAATGCTAATAACTCCTGACCCATGAGAGGTGAAAATTCTTTCTTTTTACAAAGTGTAGCCCAGATTCTCTTCTATCTATGATATGAATTTGAAACGTTACTGAAATACAGCTATTTTACGACTGAGGGTCACTTTTGAAGTTTGAGTCCCTCTTCCAAAAAAATTCATAACCCAATCTAGAAATATTATCTTCACTTCAAAAGTGCATCAGATACTCTAAAATGCTTTTAGATTATTCACACAAAGTATGAGGGCTAACTATTGTATGGTTAGAGAAATTCATTGAAAATGAGCACCCACTATTGAAACATACATAGGCCCAGGTCGTCGAAAACGGTATCGTTAACGGGCCGTTAACCTACCGTCAACGTGCTGTAAACGTCCTGTTAACGGGCCGTTTTTGCACCGTTTTTATGCCGTTTTCACACTGTTTAACTGGGGCCGTTTTACGAGCCGTTTTTACGCCGTTAACAGGCCGTTTACAAGTTATTTACGGGCCGCTTCCTGACCATTTTTTAACTGTTTTACAGGTTCATTTTTTTCCTGTTGGGCGCTTTCAGGACTCAATGCGCATATGTTCTGTTTGTTTATTAGCATAAGAAAAAGTTTTTTTAGTTAAGGCAGAAGAAAAGTTCGGTATCAATGCTGACTGTACAGACGCGGGACGAGTGACCTTCGTGATGTCAAGAAACTAGGGGTTATATAGACATTTTTGTCTTTTATATGCTCTCTTTGTCTAAGCTCTTCAGTAGGTTTTAGATGCCAAATACAGTTGTTTTTACATAGAGATGACGTTCGTCGAAAAAAAATGTTTTGGTTGAGTAAACCAGTATTTTAGAAACCTTATTTAATAAGGCTGACGACTTTAAGAGATGCTTGTAAGCCCAGCTGTAGAATAACTAAGTACAGATACGCGTTCTTTTTCCAACACAAACGAAATTTTTGATGTACATGAAAATAGAAAACAAAAATTTAACACATTAAGCACACTGTGTGGAAATAAATTAGAGTACAAAATTGTACGTAAACCGGTAAGAAAAGTGTTCTTATGTTAACGTGGATGGTGCAAAATATTATTGACCCATCCGAACTTTATGTGATTGTCGTTGTAATTCATTATGTGCAATACAAACCAAAATAATAATGAATACAACCGATGAGGGTCAAATTAAACTAATTCGCCGGATTTTTTTAATCTTTTTCTTGTATTTGATAATAAATCTCTAAAGGAATTTATTAACACATTTGTATAATAGCCATCAAAACTATTTTCACTAATTTTAAATTTATATTTGATTGCATCTAAAAATGAAAAAAAAGATACCGTCTATTCGAGTCTATAAATTGCGTTTGAAGCTGTTTTTGGAAGTTTTCTTTCTGAACTGGTTCCCTGTATTAAGAGGAAAACATCTCTTTCTTATGAAACATAGCGAAAGTACTAATGCTGTTTATGTAAACTGTTTGTGAGAATTTTGTTTTGGGGGAAAAGTAACTCAGGTAGATAAAAAACCGTCTCAAACGTAAATTTGAGATAAATGAACCAGAACTAACCTTTTAAAATTCCAATTTTATAATCATCCAATAACTGACGATCAGTATGATTTCTTCTACTAGGTGGAGACATCAAATCTTGTGCTAATTCTCTATCGGTAAATAACACCTTTAAAACTTGACGACCAAAATCGGCTGGTCCATTGGCACCATTAAGAGTTAACAAATTGACATCACCATCTTCTGTTTGATAAATCTAAAAGAAAAAACTCCTTTTATGAACGAAGAAAATCAATGTGTTATTCAAACTTACAAATCCGTTTGGATAGTTGACATCATTATCAATTTCAAATTCGTTTTTTTGTTTATTTACCTACAACAAAAGTCGTAACAGTACTTTTCAGAAATTATGAAGAGAACGAAAATCTTTGGATGATGATTTTTAACGCCAGACTAAACATTCTCTTTTTAACAATGTATCTTTTATTCTGGTGACAGAAAAATTTAATCAACTTTTAAACAACACTTGCCAATTCTTTTGTATTTTTTGTTAACATAACCAATTGTTTACTAAACGTTTGAAATTGTGCCGAGATCGAACCAGATAATCTATCCAGTGCTGATTGCGAAACTGGACTTGCAACTCTGTTGCTGTATGGACTTGTGGATAATAGATCGGGTAGACGTCGACCACTATTACGTATTCCTCGAATGACTGTTCTTTTTCGTGTATCTTCATTAGCTAGATATTCATCCTCTTCCTCTTCTAATGCGGCTAAACTAATACGATGTCGTTTTTGATGATTTTTTGGACCTATACATGAAAAAACACAGTATAACACATTTCAGTTGAATTCTTTAAATAACAAGATATTAGTCGCACGTCGTATATCTTCGACTTCTTCCTCATCATCATCTTGTTGAAATGCAAATAGAGAATATGTTTCAGGAGAAGTGGCAGCAGTAGCTCCACCCACGTCGCTATGTAGACGTTGAGCACTTTTTATTTCTAAAAATGGAAAGAAATTTAAGGAACTAAAATAATAGAAAACCAGGAAAATGCTTACCTTCATCATCGTCATCTTCAACTCGTCCATGACCTTCAACATTTTGTGTATCACGCAATATTCTACTACCCAAAACTAAAATAATTTACGATAATAAGTTAGTTTTATAGGCTTTCTCTCTATTGTATAGGCTACTTATTTACCTGGACTTTGAACAATTTGTAAACTGGACGACACTTGACTGTTATAATGTTTCTGACATGCTTCAATTGTACCTGAAATGACAAAATAGTCTTGTCTATAAAAACAATTGACAAAAAAATAATATTTCGTTTACCAGCATAATTAATAATGCCATCATGAACATGACCTTGTAATTTCACTTGTGCTTGTTTACCATTTAGTAATTTTACTAAAGTTTTTGGTACTATTTTCGCTTCATTTGTTTGAGGAAAATAAATTAAATAATGATCGGGTAATGCGGCTGTTTCCGGTGTGTACGGTTTATTTTCTTTTCTTGTACGCGGCGTTCGTTGAGTTGCCATTAAAAAACAAAACAATTCTGGAACAGAGAAAAGGAGATTAAGTAAACATATTTACAGAGACGAAGACGGTTGAAGTTAGACACAAACACGAAATAGAGGTCAAGTTTTCGAGAATAATGATTGCAGCATATAGATTCAAACCTCAAACTTAACCGATATCTCCCTCACATAGTATGTTTACTTTTATTTTTGTTCTTCTCAATTAATTTCTAATCATGTTCGTCTAATCTTGACACAGGTGTAGCAATTAAAAAATCTTCGCTATAAAAAACTATACAATGTTTCAACACAGAACTAACTTTGATTACAGTTTTCTGTTTCAGTGTTAATTTTTCCAGTACAAAAAAATAACTATCTAACACATTAGAAACACTAGTATAATAAACAGTATCTACGACAAAGTCAGAAAACTTATGTTTTTGCTTGTGTTCATCAAACAGAAGAAACATGGTATTATGAATTTTGAAAAATAAAATTATTTGTCCGAACTTGATACCTGAATTTGACTCTACAGCCACAAAATAACTAACCGATGTTTGTCTTCTTGCATACAATAACGAATGATACATTAAACCATTTATTATGTGACGCCTTGAAATAGATAAACAACTTAATTCTTCACAATCACAATACAAACGATGGTGCTTTAGCACATCAACATTTCTTTCTTTCTCGCGAACAATATCAATTGGTACCGTTTTTGTCCAATCAATAGATGAATCTTCCTGTTGTAAGTCATTATATAAAAAATAATCGATGTTGTGGTACAGGACAAGTTGATCACCAATATTCTTTGAACCATGATACGATGATCCAACACTGCCCAAGAAGTCTTCGAACGCAAAAGTTGCCGCACAACTAACACTACCGTGAAGACTAAATTGTGTTGGAAAATGATGATGTTGATGACAAGTTAATGTTTCTCTGGAGTTGAAATATTTTGAATGAAGTTTTAAATAAATATCGACTAATTCTCTGGCTTTTTCTTCACGAAAATGACGTGATACCTGAACCAATGGACCACCATGTAATAACCGTATGGCACAAACTAATGTGAAATTAAATCATCATCAAAAAAAGGCAAAAACCTTGGAACGATGGCGTATAAGAATAAATTTCGCCATTCGGTAGCTTTAACAAACGACAGATCGATAATTCCTCTTAATTCGCGATTAAAGTAGTGTGGAAATGGTTGAGTTTTTAATGATCGATCTAATATTTGTTTACTTTCTTTTGTTAAGCGTGCTGTTAAATCACAGACTAGTGTTTTCCCATGTCTTAACAAACTTGTGTGAAGATAATCACAAATAATCGAATCTGGAAAATCATCATTAAAAAGTTGAGCAACAATTGAAATGCCGTGATGACCAAGAATATTCTGATGTTTTTCGTCAGCTTCTTTTGAATCACGATTCCATGTGAACGGTGTACGATCCTCAATTGTTGCTGAATAAGGAAACAACGTCTTTCTATTACGTGAAACACCGTGAATTAAACAATAAAAACAAGAATTAAAACCAGTATGTGATCTGAAGTTGAGAATATGTGCGAGAGCCGGTAGATTCTGAAACATTCAAACATTTTTTTTAAACTGTAATCTTTTAGCAGACAATAGAGCAAGTTCACAAAGCAAATATTAAAGTACAATACGCAGGTTTGGAGTAAAACCAACTTAGAAGCAATAATATGTAAGTGCATAGTATTGAAACTTAGAGAGCAAAAATAGTTACTTACTCCAATTAAACCATGAAACCGAATAGAGAAACAGTTGACTTGTTCTGGTTGACGAGTTTGAATAACAACACCATCAGTTTTTAATTTCATGAGCTGTTGAATTATCGGCTTTAACCATCGATTATCTCTGGTTTACCAACACCAACACAAACACTGAGAAGCACCATATTTCGTCGTCATTTTCTCAGGTCTGGTCGAAGTTCTACAATTGAGGCACTGAGAGCCCACAATCCTAGTTTTGTACTTTTGACTAATGGTAATCCATCAAGATGAAGAATTAAACTAATAAATGGACGATCATTACCTGACTGAATAGATTGTTCTAAAGCGTTCTGGTATTTAATTCCAGAAACAATTTCATCATCGTACTCAACGAATTTTTTGTCATGGATTACTGTCTTATAATGTTGAATTTCTTTCAAATTTCTAGATACAATTAATTCTAACATTTGTTTCACATCTGACGAATAAACCGTATCAATTTTAGGGTTGGATAATTGATACTGTTTACATAAAATGTTCGTACAGATCTGGGATTTATAGATGATCTCAGTAGAACAAATAGAACATAAAATCTGTTTCGTAAAATAATTGACTATTCCAACACTCGTCAATAGTTTATCAAATGTTTTGGGTAAATTATTCGGTACGGGTAAAACTTTACTAAATTCTTTGAGAATATCATTCATTGCACTTTTCGATAAACACGATTTTCGATTTATTTTCAATAAATTTTTCACATGTTTCGCCGGTAGTTACGTTTGTATGTTCATGCAAAGGTCTCAAATCCCGAACATATCTCTCCGATGGTAAGTTGTCATGGTCATCATCGAAAATCATATAATCAGTCGCTAAATTTATTCGTTTTTGAAAAACTGTATCAAAATAGCAATTATCGTCCTCTTCCTGTTGCTCATCCGTATTCAGATCCAGTAAATAAAACCCGTCATTACTACTACTGTCATAATTAGCTGATGTGGAAACTAAATGATATGGCTTGTTTGCATCGCACATTTCTATCTCCTTGGCTATTGTTGTTGTTGATTGTGTAACTTGTGTTATCTTAAGATTTCCATTACTTTGGCGACTACGACGTTTGTTGTATTCTTGTCTCGCTTTTCGGCCATCTCCAGTAGCCATGTTGGCACTAGAATTCCACATTATAACTTTACTGATGAACGCTAAATATTAAACGAAAAGAAAATCTATTTCTGACTTAGCATATAGAAAGAGTAAGAAAACAACCTTATAGTCAGGGAAGCCACAAAAATATACCTCCTAGTCTTCCATTACAAAGCGCAAAGCGACTTTCACAGTTTTTTGAACTAACAAAAGAACAGAAAGCCTAATAACAGTCAACAGACACGCTGTGGTACGCTAGGGCTAAGCTTAGGCCTGAACTTAGTCTTAGCGTACCATTTAATTCTCAATGGCCTTATTTCTTTCGTTTTGTGTCTTTTATTTTATTTTTATTATTCTTTATGGATGGTACGTGGTCTCTTGACATGAAGCAACGCAAGAACAGCCAATTAACTGCCAATGCACCTAAAAAAAGAGATCGATTTTCACGGAATTTTTTCTAGTATATATTATAGCTGATATCAAGACATTTTAGAATATATATTCAGAGTTCTCTGACCACAAGCCGTTACTAAGATATCAGTGTTTTTCACAAAACTGTTTGTCATGGCAACAGCATTAAAATTCTTTGAGTTGTTGAAGTATTTCAGTTAGTATGCAGATTTTTGTCACAGTTTTGGATCTCCATATTATTGTTGAGTCAAAAAAAATGATGAAATGGTCTACAGTCTCTGAAAATGGCTCCTTAATCTCGTTTACTTATGTAGGATCGATTTTTTGAAAAAAAACTGATATCTGAGTAACGGCTTGTG